ACTATCTTGCTATAACTATGTGATATGATGAGACTATCTTGCTATAACTATGTGATATGATGAGATTATCTTGCTATAACTATGTGATATGATGAGATTATCTTGCTATAACTATGTGATATGATGAGATTATCTTGCTATAACTATGTGATATGATGAGATTATCTTGCTATAACTATGTGATATGATGAGATTATCTTGCTATAACTATGTGATATGATGAGATTATCTTGCTATAACTATGTGATATGATGAGATTATCTTGCTATAACCATGTGATATGATGAGATTATCTTGCTATAACCATGTGATATGATGAGATTATCTTGCTATAACCATGTGATATGAATAATGTGTTGTTGGTAATAAATAGGGAAGGAATGGCATTTTGAACTCGGATATTGATTTCCTGTTTAAACAGGAAAAGCATAAAACCTAACGGTGTTCCAAATTTCCCACAAGAATTACATATAACCTAAAGATGTTCCGAGTATGAATCAGGCACCTTTGAGGTTCCCGAAAGGGTAATTTAAACTGTCGTATTATAAATTGCTATTGACTGATTTAGATATTTTATATCTGATCAACGACTACCATTAATATTTGCGTATAGTGCACACTTTTTTAAGGAAAAATGAATTGTCAAGAAAGGGGTATACACGGTACTCATGAACAATCCAAAACCAGTTCTTGGTCGCAACCATTTATTGTAAATTTTTCGAGGATTTTGGGTAATGTTTTGAAATATGCTCGCTGCAATAAAACTGCTAAATTTCGTTGAATAATCCCTGATTGCATTGCCAATTGAACAATTCAAGTCAAATTATACAATTTGGATAAATTTTCAAGACGTTATGTTGTGAATTGATAAATACCACATATATATCGGGAAACATAACGAAGAATTGCATCGCATTTATCACTATGTGGTTAAAATGTCGTTCTTGGGTAAAATTATGCTGTACTCTTCAATCTTGACAGTAGGAATGTGTCAAAACGACATGGGTAAAGTGGCGAAGTTAGCAAGTTTGTGTACCGCAAAGAGTCAAGGAAGCGCGATATATACTATTAGATATTAACGGGTTCAAAGCAGCCAAGTAAATTCCAATCTTGTCTTTTCGAAGGAGAATTGCTGAAATCACAATTGTTTAGTGTTCCTCATATCTCTCTAATTCGGCTGGTGGCGGTCCTCGTTGGGCTACTGCCTTTAAGCGTACACATTCTGCCAATATCGATGACCAATTCAATTGGATTTGCAGATGATCAGAAAACTACTTGGATAAGTGTATTTCATAACAAAAAAAAAGTAAAAGATTTATCCGTATGTAAGATTGAATCTTTTCTGAAACTTATTGTTATGAAAACAACATCGTTATATTCCAATTACCTGTTCTGCCCATGCCAGGTGACCGTGTCAGTGCGCAGATCTCCCCGTATTTGAGATGTCGGTCAACGCTAACGTTATATTTGCAATATGCTTTCTTATTAATTCTATGTGTTGGCATGGCTACCTGAACAGCATGTATGTATATTTACACCTGGTCATTGGTTGTCAGGGTTGTCATTTCTGTATATATAGTTGGTCATGTACACAAGGGTTGTCATTTCTGTATATATAGTTGGTCATGTACACAAGGGTTGTCATTTCTGTATATATAGTTGGTCATGTTCACAAGGGTTGTCATTTCTGTATATATAGTTGGTCATGTTCACAAGGGTTGTCATTTCTGTATATATAGTTGGTCATGTTCACAAGGGTTGTCATTTCTGTATATATAGTTGGTCATGTTCACAAGGGTTGTCATTTCTGTATATATAGTTGGTCATGTTCACAAGGGTTGTCATTTCTGTATATATAGTTGGTCATGTTCACAAGGGTTGTCATTTCTGTATATATAGTTGGTCATGTTCACAAGGGTTGTCATTTCTGTATATATAGTTGGTCATGTTCACAAGGGTTGTCATTTCTGTATATATAGTTGGTCATGTTCACAAGGGTTGTCATTTCTGTATATATAGTTGGTCATGTTCACAAGGGTTGTCATTTCTGTATATATAGTTGGTCATGTTCACAAGGGTTGTCATTTCTGTATATATAGTTGGTCATGTTCACAAGGGTTGTCATTTCTGTATATATAGTTGGTCATGTTCACAAGGGTTGTCATTTCTGTATATATAGTTGGTCATGTTCACAAGGGTTGTCATTTCTGTATATATAGTTGGTCATGTTCACAAGGGTTGTCATTTCTGTATATATAGTTGGTCATGTTCACAAGGGTTGTCATTTCTGTATATATAGTTGGTCATGTTCACAAGGGTTGTCATTTCTGTATATATAGTTGGTCATGTTCACAAGGGTTGTCATTTCTGTATATATAGTTGGTCATGTTCACAAGGGTTGTCATTTCTGTATATATAGTTGGTCATGTTCACAAGGGTTGTCATTTCTGTATATATAGTTGGTCATGTTCACAAGGGTTGTCATTTCTGTATATATAGTTGGTCATGTTCACAAGGGTTGTCATTTCTGTATATATAGTTGGTCATGTTCACAAGGGTTGTCATTTCTGTATATATAGTTGGTCATGTTCACAAGGGTTGTCATTTCTGTATATATAGTTGGTCATGTTCACAAGGGTTGTCATTTCTGTATATATAGTTGGTCATGTTCACAAGGGTTGTCATTTCTGTATATATAGTTGGTCATGTTCACAAGGGTTGTCATTTCTGTATATATAGTTGGTCATGTTCACAAGGGTTGTCATTTCTGTATATATAGTTGGTCATGTTCACAAGGGTTGTCATTTCTGTATATATAGTTGGTCATGTTCACAAGGGTTGTCATTTCTGTATATATAGTTGGTCATGTTCACAAGGGTTGTCATTTCTGTATATATAGTTGGTCATGTTCACAAGGGTTGTCATTTCTGTATATATAGTTGGTCATGTTCACAAGGGTTGTCATTTCTGTATATATAGTTGGTCATGTTCACAAGGGTTGTCATTTCTGTATATATAGTTGGTCATGTTCACAAGGGTTGTCATTTCTGTATATATAGTTGGTCATGTTCACAAGGGTTGTCATTTCTGTATATATAGTTGGTCATGTTCACAAGGGTTGTCATTTCTGTATATATAGTTGGTCATGTTCACAAGGGTTGTCATTTCTGTATATATAGTTGGTCATGTTCACAAGGGTTGTCATTTCTGTATATATAGTTGGTCATGTTCACAAGGGTTGTCATTTCTGTATATATAGTTGGTCATGTTCACAAGGGTTGTCATTTCTGTATATATAGTTGGTCATGTTCACAAGGGTTGTCATTTCTGTATATATAGTTGGTCATGTTCACAAGGGTTGTCATTTCTGTATATATAGTTGGTCATGTTCACAAGGGTTGTCATTTCTGTATATATAGTTGGTCATGTTCACAAGGGTTGTCATTTCTGTATATATAGTTGGTCATGTTCACAAGGGTTGTCATTTCTGTATATATAGTTGGTCATGTTCACAAGGGTTGTCATTTCTGTATATATAGTTGGTCATGTTCACAAGGGTTGTCATTTCTGTATATATAGTTGGTCATGTTCACAAGGGTTGTCATTTCTGTATATATAGTTGGTCATGTTCACAAGGGTTGTCATTTCTGTATATATAGTTGGTCATGTTCACAAGGGTTGTCATTTCTGTATATATAGTTGGTCATGTTCACAAGGGTTGTCATTTCTGTATATATAGTTGGTCATGTTCACAAGGGTTGTCATTTCTGTATATATAGTTGGTCATGTTCACAAGGGTTGTCATTTCTGTATATATAGTTGGTCATGTTCACAAGGGTTGTCATTTCTGTATATATAGTTGGTCATGTTCACAAGGGTTGTCATTTCTGTATATATAGTTGGTCATGTTCACAAGGGTTGTCATTTCTGTATATATAGTTGGTCATGTTCACAAGGGTTGTCATTTCTGTATATATAGTTGGTCATGTTCACAAGGGTTGTCATTTCTGTATATATAGTTGGTCATGTTCACAAGGGTTGTCATTTCTGTATATATAGTTGGTCATGTTCACAAGGGTTGTCATTTCTGTATATATAGTTGGTCATGTTCACAAGGGTTGTCATTTCTGTATATATAGTTGGTCATGTTCACAAGGGTTGTCATTTCTGTATATATAGTTGGTCATGTTCACAAGGGTTGTCATTTCTGTATATATAGTTGGTCATGTTCACAAGGGTTGTCATTTCTGTATATATAGTTGGTCATGTTCACAAGGGTTGTCATTTCTGTATATATAGTTGGTCATGTTCACAAGGGTTGTCATTTCTGTATATATAGTTGGTCATGTTCACAAGGGTTGTCATTTCTGTATATATAGTTGGTCATGTTCACAAGGGTTGTCATTTCTGTATATATAGTTGGTCATGTTCACAAGGGTTGTCATTTCTGTATATATAGTTGGTCATGTTTACAAGGGTTGTCATTTCTGTATATATAGTTGGTCATGTACACAAGGGTTGTCATTTCTGTATATATAGTTGGTCATGTTTACAAGGGTTGTCATTCCTGTATATATAGTTGGTCATGTACACAAGGGTTGTCATATCTGTATATATAGTTGGTCATGTACACAAGGGTTGTCATTTCTGTATATATAGTTGGTCATGTACACAAAGGTCGTCATTTTTGTATATATAGATGGTCATGTTCACAAGGGTTGTCATTTTGCTATATTTGCGGTCACCAAAGATAGCGCAAAATTAAATATCTAACAAAAATTAATCAAAGAATTGAAATTTTCATGGAAATTATATTGAAATATTCGCTATATATAATGACACAAAAGGACAATAAAGATAGCACTTCAATATTGCATTTTACTTTATTCTCATGTAAAATGGATCTCATCACGTAGATAATTAAGTAACATTGTGAGTCTGATATTTGTACCAAGGTATGTTTCAGGAAGATTTCAGTAGCCTTGTTTCATGTGTTACAGGTTGCGGACAGTCGCAGTGCGGGTTCAGATACTCCGGAGGACACAACACCTTCGGACAACACTCCATCAGCAAGCTCCACCTGGACAACCTGGCCAAACCCACCCAATCCTGGGGCAAAGCCTGAGGCCCAGCGCCCTCACACCATATCGTCAGCTTATGAGAAATCTCAGAAACGTCCTGCATTGTCGTCCAAGCTATTTGAGCCATTGTTGCAAGAGGGGGATGACCAGCCATTAGAACAGCCAGTTCTCCGACATGAGAGGTCTAATAGTACATCCGATTCGGTAAATCCTTACTTGCGCCCCCAGTCAGCCACAATCAACAAACTGCAGCCCATGCTGCCTCCACTGGCTCCAAAACCAAAGTCACGTGCTGTGGCTCCTCCTAAACTCCCAATAGCAGGTAAGAGTCTTCTTCTACAAGAATGTAAGTGTACTTTTATGGATGATAAGGTCATAATTAGGGCTTTCCACCAACTGGTGAAAAGACCTATTGTTTTTGTTATGTTTCTTCTTATTATTAGGGCTTTCCACTAACTGGTGAAAAGACCTATTGTTTTTGTTATGTTTCTTCTTATTATTAGGGCTTTTCACTAACTGGTGAAAAGACCTATTGTTTTTGTTATGTTTCTTCTTCTTCTTCTTATTATTCTCCCCTAATTTGTGAATTCTGTATCTTTTGATTGGTAAAAGATAGGTTTATAGTCTTTTAGGTATGTTGTAGGAAAAGGTCTGAAGATGATCAAGCAACATTTTGAAGTAGGTTAAAAATCAAATATGGCCACCATGACGTCATACCTTAAAATCTAAAAATGGCCATAACTCAAAAACGGTTTAATTTACAGAATTGACGCAAAGATATTATATGTATATAATCATCAGGGCTAACTTTTTCTCATTACATGTTAATACAAAATATTTCTAATAAAAAAGCTTGCTATTGGGTCAAAGGTCACCATTTTTAGGTCACCTGAGCTTTAGCTCAAGTGACCTATTGCTATCCGTTTTCGTCCGTCGTCGTCCGTCGTCCGTCATCCGTCGTCCGTTAACATTTTACATTTCAAACTTAAAGTCAAGTTCTGCTGGGCCGATTGAACTGAAAGTTGGTAGGAATGATCGCCTCATGGTCCTGACAAAGTGTTGTTATTTTTCGGGTCGATCAGAAATCCAATATGGCCGCCACGGCCGCCATTTTGAAAACCTATTTCAAACTTAAAGTCAAGTTCTGCTGGACCGATTGAACTGAAAGTTGGTAGGAATGATCGCCTCATGGTCCTGACAAAGTGTTGTTATTTTTCGGGTCGATCAGAAATCCAATATGGCCGCCACGGCCGCCATTTTGAAAACCTATTTCAAACTTAAAGTCAAGTTCTGCTGGACCGATTGAACTGAAAGTTGGTAGGAATGATCGCCTCATGGTCCTGACAAAGTGTTGTTATTTTTCGGGTCGATCAGAAATCCAATATGGCCGCCACGGCCGCCATTTTGAAAACCTATTTCAAACTTAAAGTCAAGTTCTGCTGGACCGATTGAACTGAAAGTTGGTAGGAATGATCGCCTCATGGTCCTGACAAAGTGTTGTTATTTTTCGGGTCGATCAGAAATCCAATATGGCCGCCACGGCCGCCATTTTGAAAACCTATTTCAAACTTAAAGTCAAGTTCTGCTGGACCGATTGAACTGAAAGTTGGTAGGAATGATCGCCTCATGGTCCTGACAAAGTGTTGTTATTTTTCGGGTCAATCAGAAATACAATTTGGCTGCCATGGCCGCTATTTTGCTACTAAATTCTAATAGGCCGATCTCACTTAAAATTGGTCTAGGAATGATCAGCTCATGGTCCTGACAAAGTTAAGTTAACATTATACTATTTTTTACTCAAATTGGTACATATTTCAACAAAAAAAAAAAAATACTGTAGACTCAGGTGACCGTTAAGGCCCATGGGCCTCTTGTTTTAAAAACATTCATTTTTCATTTTGTTGGAAAAAATACTTCTACAGATCGATGAAGAATGCCATTCCGATGAATTTGATGTCTTTAGTTTTTCTGTAACATTTACCGTTAACGACGTACGCCATTTTGAATATTTTCTTTTGATCTTTTAAAAATATCGCAATATTTTAAAACTTGTTTTACTCCAATATCAATGACAAATATTTGGTCACTGTATTTGTTATGAAAAAGGTTTCCCCAGATGTCCTCTAACACTTAAAAAAAAAATCAACTTCATTGAAAAATTAAAATGGCCGCCATGACGTCATACCTCAAAATCTTAAAATGGCTATAACTCAAACACGGTTGAATTTACAGCCTTTAAGCGCTGATATCATTTGTAGATAAGGTCAGGGCTAACTTTTTTCCATTGTATATTATTACTTAAAAGGTCAAATGAAAAAGTTCGCTGTTGGGTCAAAGGTCACAATTTTTAAAAAATATTCATTTTTCATTTTTTTTTTAAAGAATTCTTCTATAGATCAATGAAGAATGTCATTCCGAATAATTTGATGTCTTTAGTTTTTCTGTAACATTTACAGTTAACGTTGTACATCATTTTGAATATTTCCTTTGATCTTTTAAAATGCTGACATTATGTTAAAACTTCAACGATCTTCTTCTCCAATTCTGCCATTGCAATATTAACCACAATTAATAAATGTATTCCTCTAGGGGCCCTTGCAAACTTATGTTACTTTTTGGAGCAATTAATATTCCAAGATGGCCGCCACGAACTCTGATTGGTTAACAGCCTATACCAATAAATTTTGTTAACGATATCAAACACGAGGTTGATCTTTGGATATCATATAGAGATAGCCAAGGGCAAACTTTTTCTTTCATACTGTTTTAGGAAAAAATGTCAACTTCCGGTTTTCGGCAGGGGTCAAAGTTAAAATGCACTATATTGGGTACCAGCCTTAAAAAATCTTCTTCTTAAGTTTCACATGGTCTAGAGTCTTGATATTTAATTGTAAAGATTCTGAGATGTCGGGGTATCAGGTTTGAAAAAATGGTTGACATTGATCAACTATCAAGGTCACAATCAAGGTCACAAATTTCAAATGTTAAAAAAAATAAAATTACTTTTAATCAAGAATATTTCAAAAATTGTTCGATTGATTCACTTTACATTCAGGTATGATGTGGACAACACAAATGTGCACATTTTTGGCAGAAAACATTTTGAGTTTACCAGGTCGAGTTTTGAGTTATTCAGGGGTCAAACTTCATATGTGCTATTTCAAGATAATGACTTCAAAAAACTTCTTCTAGAGTTCTACAAGGTCTAGAGTCCTACTATTTGATACATAATACGGCGAAGTAATTGGCAATCAAGTTTGAAAAATGATTGACCTTGATTGACTTTCAAGGTCACAGAGGCCATATATGGAAAAAAAAAAAAAAAACACTTTTTCTGAATAACCAATAATTCCAGGGTAACGATGTTTAGCAAGAAGCATGCTTAAATGAAGGGCTTTAAAGTGTGTGCAAATGAATGACCTTGACCTACTCTAAATATAATTTCAAAAGTGAAAGTCAAAAACCGTTTTCATTTTTGTGCGATTGTCAAGTGCTTTCAGTACTCAGCACTCTCAGTACTTTGATTTATATCAAGACATCGAATACACGCTGGTTATACTACATCGATTACTACGCACTCTCAATCTTAAAAGTAGGGACAGTTTACATCACTACTGCAGTGGGTAAACATCAGCCTTTCTTTGGCATGGCAAACCCAACCGATATAGACAAAAAGCAAGTTTCAATTCATCATCCTGACGTACATAGTGGACGGACTATAGGACGACTTTTACGGACTACATTCGTATACAACTAAGCCCATTGGCTGCCTATATTTATCCGTTTCTTTCCGAATCCCCCACTACTCAGTCAGCTACTGTACACATCAGTTCAAGTCTTCAATGAAGCTCTGAAAGATGTTCAAAGAAATAATCTTTAACCATATTCCTAGAGGGGTGTAGGTACTAATACTAAAATTAGGGTATTACATCATGAAAATTAGTTTACAATTGCCCAGTTGTTAGAAAGCTTTTAGCATACAATTATTCTTCTATGAAAATGACTAAGTAAGAAAAAGACACTATTTCTATGTTCAATTATGATTGCATTTGTCTTTGAGCAGGAGATTCCCAGGCATTATATGTGAATCTGACAGACCTTGCCAACATGGCAGTGGAGCAACAGAAGGACCAGGGTACAGACAGTGACATCACACCGACAGAGAGGAGCCCTCCCGCCACCATGTCTGAGCAGGTAGCTTGTTCCTTCCCAGCCTTTAATGCTGTCCAGTTACTACATACAATCATGTCTGCTCTGTCATAAAGACTTGTGGTACTAAATCACTTATCAAGTCTTATTACTTAACGTTTAAGCTGCTATTTTCAATATTTTAAAATCAACGTTAATGACATTTGTCTTGAAGATTTGTAGTCACATACCTAACAAAGATTACAAGTCAGTTACCTAACACAGATTACAAGTCAGTTACATACCTGACAAAGATTACAAGTCAGTTACCTAACAAAGATTACAAGTCAGTTACCTGACAAAAATTACAAGTCAGTTACCTGACAAAGAATACAAGTCAGTTACCTACAACGATTACAAATCAGTTACCTGACAAAGATTACAAGTCAGTTACCTGACAAAGATTACAAATCAGTTACCTAACAAAGAGTACAAGTCAGTTACCTGACAAAGATTACAAGTCAGTTCCCTGACAAAAATTACAAGTCAGTTACCTGACAAAGAATCCAAGTCAGTTACCTACAACGATTACAAATCAGTTACCTGACAAAGATTAAAAGTCAGTTACCTGACAAAGATTACAAATCAGTTACCTAACAAAGATTACAAGTCAGTTACTTAACAAAGATTACAAGTCGGTTACCTAACAAAGATTACAAGTCAGTTACTTAACAAAGATTACAAGTCGGTTACCTAACAAAGATTACAAGTCAGTTACATAACAAAGATTACAAGTCAGTTACCTAACACAGATTACAAGTCAGTTACATACCTGACAAAGATCACAAGTCAGTTACCTAACAAAGATTACAAGTCAGTTCCCTGACAAAAATTACAAGTCAGTTACCTGACAAAGAATACGGGGGAGTTACCTACAACGATTACAAATCAGTTACCTGACAAAGATTAAAAGTCAGTTACCTGACAAAGATTACAAATCAGTTACCTAACAAAGAGTACAAGTCAGTTACCTGACAAAGATTACAAGTCATTTACCTGATAAAGATTACAAGTCAGTTACCTGACAAATATTACAAGTCAGTAACCTGATAAAGATTACAAATCAGTTACCTGACAAAGATTACAAGTCAGTTACCTGACAAAGATTACAAATCAGTTACCTGACAAAGATTACAAGTCAGTTACCTGACAAAGATTACAAGTCAGTTACCTAACAAAGATTACCAGTCATGAAGGTTTTCAATGGTCCATACTTCTGCAAACAGGATGGCAGCCAGACAGCAATCTTTTTGATTTTTGTTTACACTTCAATTTTGTTATCGCTGTGTATATTCATTCCCCTTTGACGATTCCCTTCTTAAAAATACCCATGACCCTCATGATAATTCATCTCATATTGTCAGCATTTCTAGGTATGTAATGATTACAAATTTCATAATTTTGCATATAGTTATGCAATTCTAATACAATAAACATTTGTTATAGTGGTTAATAATTTATTACAAGGTATAAGTTAATGAACAAAATTCCTGTTCAGTTAATTTTAACATGGGATTGGGTAATAATCCCTGTAAGGGAAATGGAGAGCAGTGTGGATTTCGCTGAAGATCACTATTTTGGCCGATATGTTACTAAAAAAAATCATCGGTAAATTATGGTAAAAATCACTGGTAAATGATGGTAAAAATTACTGGTAAATGATGGTAAAAATTACTGGTAAATGATGGTAAAAATCACTGGTAAATGATTGTAAAAGTCACTGATAAATGATGGTAAAAATCATGGTTTATGCCCTTTGGATCTTGGGTCATGCCTGTCTGTTGGTCCGTCCTCCGTCATCCATCCTTAAACAATACTTGTTATTGCTATTTCTCCGGAAATAATGGTGGGATGTTTCTAAAATTCCCTATGTAGGTTTATTTTAGAGACTGACCAGGTACTGGCCTTAGGTCGGTGTGGTTTTTTTCCGGGAACTCCGGCTTTCCTCCACCACCAAAACCTGGCACGTCCTTAAATGACCATAGCTGTTAATAGGACGTAAAACACAAATAAACAATAAACAAACTGATCAGATAAACAAAATGGCAGACAGAGGCAGCCATCTTGGATTTTGACAGTGAAGGTTTGTAATAGCTTTTTCTCAGGAAACGCTGGAAGGATCTTTCTCAAATTTGATTTTTAAGTTCCCCTTGGTCCTTTATTGTGCAGATTTACTTTAGAGACTGAATAAACAAAATATTTCACAGGCAGCTATATCTTGGATTATAAGAGTTAAATATTGTTATCGATTTTTCTTAAACAGCACTCTACAGATCTTTCTCAAACTTCATATGAAGATTTCCCTTGGTCCCTAGTTGTGCATGTTTTATTTTGAGAGTGACCATTAAAACAATTTGGCTTCAGGTGGTCATCCTTGATCTTGACATTTGAAGAATATGATCACATTATCTGTAGAAGTACTTAACAGATCTATTACAATGATCGGTTCTATTTCTTTTACATAAAGGTACTGTACTAGCAGATATGTGATACAACAAACTCACTTTCAAGGTTATCTTTTAAACACAGTAGTATGAAGTTTAAGGTCAAAAGTTACACTAAGGTGCATTTAGTGTTTACACGAATGACTGTCGAACAGATAAGAGAAAAGATTTGAATTGACATAGAACTAATGAAGATGGTAAGTTGGTGTACGCCAAGATCCTCCTGGGATCTTGTTAGATGTCCTTATTTATGAGTTCATTGGTGAATAGTATCACATGACCTTGACTTTAGTGCACAAAACCAGCGACTTTCCACATGTCGTTTTGACACAATTTTAAACTGCCATGATTGAGGGTCTTGGGGTTCTATTAAACACAATCATTGTGGTGAGCAGGGGGAAAATAAATGTTAGATATTGCATTTAAGCAATAGTTTTTGTCAGTAAGCTACATGTGTAACTTACAGATTAGGCCTACAGGTCATCATCAATGGATTAAAAGGATTCAGTACCTGGTGGTTCAGGACACAAAAACTGAGCAAAGTACAGGGCTGAAACTTAGTCCAAATGCAAAAAATCTGAAACATATTATACAAATACTGAAGCATCACGGCACCAAAGTGTCTGCAACACCATCGACCACTGTACTGACCATGATCGTGTCGATCACTGTACTGACCGTGAGCGTGTCGATCACTGTACTGACCGTGAGCGTGTTGACCACTGTACTGACCTTGAGTGTGTCGACCACTGTACTGACAGTGAGCGTGTCGACCACTGTACTGACGTGAGCCTGTCGATCACTGTACTGACCGTGAGTGTGTCGACCACTGTACTGACAGTGAGCGTGTTGACCACTGTACTGACCGTGAGCCTGTTGACCACTGTACTGACCGTGAGCCTGTCGATCACTGTACTGACCGTGAGCGTGTCGATCACTGTACTGACCGTGAGCGTGTCGACCACTGTACTGACAGTGTGCGTGTCGACCACTGTACTGATCGTGAGCGTGTCGACCACTGTACTGACTGTGAGCCTGTCGATCACTGTACTGACCGTGAACCTGTCGATCACTGTACTGACCGTGAGCGTGTCGATCACTGTACTGACTGTGAGCCTGTCGATCACTGTATACTGACCATGAGCCTGTCGATCACTGTACTGACCGTGAGCCTGTCGATCACTGTACTCATGACCGTGAACATGTCAATATTTTTAGGGTGGCAAGTAGACTCGGCGTGCAATCAACCTGTGGTAGTGTGGGATTGGGTGGCAAGTGGACTCGGCATGCAATCAACCTGTGGTAGTGTGGAATTGGGTGGCAAGTAGACTCGGTGTGCAATCAACCTGTGGTAGTGTGGGATTGGGTGGCAAGTAGACTCGGTGTGAAATCAACCTGTGGAATTGGGTAGCAAGTAGACTCTGCGTGAAATCATACTGTGGTAGTGTGGGATTGGGTGGCAAGTGGACTCAGCGTGCAATCAACCTCTGTGATTGGGTGGCAAGTAAGACTCGGTGTGAAATCAACCTGTGGAATTGGGTGGCAAGTAGACTCGGCGTGCAATCAACCTGTGGTAGTGTGGGATTGGTTGGCAAGTGGATTCGGCATGCAATCAACCTTTGGGATTGGGTAGCAAGTAGACTTGGTGTGCAATCAACCTGTGGTAGTGTGGGATTGGGTGGCAAGTGGATTCGGCATGCAATCAACCTTTGGGATTGGGTAGCAAGTAGACTTGGTGTGCAATCAACCTGTGGGATTGGGTGGCAAGTTGACTTGGTGTGAAATCATTCTGTGGAATTGGGTGGCAAGTAGACTTGGTGTGCAATCAACCTGTGGGATTGGGTGGCAAGTTGACTTGGTGTGAAATCATTCTGTGGAATTGGGTGGCAAGTAGACTCATCGTGCAATCAACATGAGGTAGTGTGGGACTGGGTGGCAAGTAGACTTGGTATGCAATCAACCTGTGGTAGTGTGTGATTGGGTGGCAAGTTGACTTGGTGTGAAATCATTCTGTGGAATTGGGTGGCAAGTAGACTCAGCGTGCAATCAACATGAGGTAGTGTGGGACTGGGTGGCAAGTAGACTTGGGGTGAAATCATTCTGTGGAATTGGGTGGGAAGTAGACTCAGCGTGCAATCAACATGAGGGAGTGTGGGATTGGGTGGCAAGTGGACTCGGAGTGAAATCAACCTGTGGACTTGGGTGGCAAGTAGACTTGGGGTGCAATCATCCTGTGGCAGTGTGGGATTTGGTGGCAAGTAGACTCGGTGTGCAATCAACCTGTGGAATTGGGTGGCAAGTAGACTTGGTGTGCAATCATCCTGTGGTAGTGTGGGATTTGGTGGCAAGTAGACTCGGCGTGCAATCAACCTGTGGTAGTGTGGGATTGGGTGGCAAGTAGGCTCTTGCCTTAAATCTATCGGTTTAACTAAGAGACAGCTATAATACAGAAATACAGGTACAAACTTCGCAAACTTATTAAAAAGAACAATTAAAAATAGATAAAGTGCACAATTATCTCAACTCCCTCACTGTAGAAGAGTTCTGTGAATTTACATACAA